CCCCAGCACAGCCCCAGCCCGTGCCGCTGCGGAGAGGCAGCGACGCAGCCCGGGTTGCAGGCCATGGACCGGAGACCCAGAGCCTTCGCTGGACGCGTGCCCGGGGGGCGGCTGGGGAGGCAGCGCCCAGCGCCCGAGGCTGGGACGCCGGGCTCTGTGCCATGCCTTGCCCAGAACAAACGGGGGATGCCTTGCCCAGAACGGGGGATGCCTTGCCTTGCCCAGAACAGGACCACCGCCCGAAGCTGGGGGATTTTTTTTTCATGGCCAACAGAAGCTTTGCACAAAGCCTTCCAGGAGGTGCAAATGGGTTCAAAGACTCCCAGCCCCTTCAAAACTGATCTGACCAACCTACATTGACATTGCACACGCGGCTCAGCACATCCTGAACGGCGCCTTCTTTGCAGTGCACACGGGCATCTTTTATTCCAATTATTTCCCCACTGCACGTCTGATTAATTTTAAACAAACAAACAAAAAAAAAGCATCCTGCCCAGGCAGGTGCAGGGTGGCCTCTTAGCTGTCACCAGTGCTTTGCCTTCAGCCTCTGACCCGCTGGTCCTGGTGGCCTCGGGCGAAGGCTGGGGCGATGCTGGAGTTTTCACCAAAGACACGTTCACTAAACAGACGGGACTGCTCTACCTAGCACGCAACTATATATACAACGTCGCAGCTCCCTGCGTTATTGGCTTGCGGTTTATGGTACAAATGCAATTCTGAAATAGGATGGCTGAAGCTTTGTGGCATTTTAATGCATCTTTGATGTCAGTTATTTAGCCTCCTCTGAACATTTTTTCTCCTCTCCAGGGCACAGTCACTCGTGAGCTTTCCCTGATGTCCCAGCTTATTCAAGTCAGTCCATTTTAGCCTCATTTAGTTTGGCGAGCTGCGTCCCCGTGACAGGTGAGCTCTGACAGCGCTGGGAACTGGATGGATTCGAGCCAGCGACCGGCGAGAGCCTGGCAGGGCTGCTGCCAGGGAACAGGCGTGAGGCACGGGCTTGGGCAGGAGCATCACGGGGACGGTGCCGGGAGCTGCTCTGCCCTTCGCCAAGCTGCCGCCCTGGGGACAGGGCGCAGGCAGGGGACAGGTTGGCGCTCCTCATCCCCGCTGCTGCTTGGGACTTCTGGAAATAAGACCTTGGCTGTAGGTCATGCCCGCCGGAGGAGGAAAGCCCTCCGACCCTTCCCATGCAGACTTAAACGACCCGCACCAAAGTGCTCGGAGTCAGCAGCGTGCAGGAATACAACCCCAGAGCTTTAAGTCCTCTTGTGTTTGCCCTCTGTGCGCCCACCCGAACTGTTTCCTACATTATGACATTTTTGGTGAAGTCCAGTGGAAGGTAGGAGAGAGAACTTATGCGGGGGTGGGCTGTTAGGATTTTAAGACAGTGTGTTGAAGGCACTGCTGTGATGAAGGTCTCTTGCCACCGCGTCGAGCGGCTGCGCTCGCCATCCCCAGCGTGTCACGGCACCGAGACCCTGCGGGAAGGCGTTGCCGTCTGGCACGGCCACGTCCAGCCTCCTCCGGGATGGACCTCCCCGACGCGCGCGCTGCCGCCCACCAGCAGCGAGGCCGTGGCAGCGGTTTCATTTCCAGCGCTGGTTCCCGTGGTGGGGTCTTCACGCAGCTGCGGACTGGTCCATGCTGGATCCCACAGGGGCTCCAGCACTTTGGCCATGCTGATCTCTCCTGCCTCCCTTTAAGTGTAAATTCGTCCTTTATGGCAAAGCGTGGACCACTTGACGTCCACATCCTCTGTACTTTGGTGGGCTGCAGCGTTGTGGTGCTCCACAGCAGGGCTCATGCGGAGACAAGCTTGCCTATAAGTTCGACTCTTGTATATGGGTTTTTAATAAAGGCTTTCAAGGTGGAGAAGCGTTTGATTAGCACCTTGCTCCCCCTTGGAGTGGGTGCTTTGATAGCTCATGAGCAGAAGATTAAATGGAATTATTTAAGCAGTGACACCAGGCAGAGAGATTCCGGAAAAATGACATCTCCCACTTTGATGTCGAAATACCTGAAACAAAGTGAACTGGAGAATCAAAAACACCAACCGGCCTTGCAGGAGGAAGGGGGCAATGAGAGGGATGTGAAATCGTTTCATCTAAGGCAAAGTCACTGCCCCCTCCTGACCAAACCTCGAGTCCAGTTTGCTGCAAGGGCGAAGAAAAAGCCATTTCGAGATCTGAAGCTTCCTCTTCCCAAAGGAGTAATGGAAAAGTCGGATGCAAACAGGGCAATAGATTACAAGTGCTTTATCCCAAGGGGATCTGTTGCTTCATTCCATGTAATTGCCTGTAAAGATCCATAATTCATGTCAACCACCACGAGTAGACACTTGGCAGATTATTTATGGGCCACCTCTTCCAGCCAGCACCGTGCTGTTCCCTCGCCATCCTCCTAAGGCCTGTTCAGATGATGTTCTGCTGCTTCCCTCGGAGGTCAGGCAAAAGTGTAATAGCTTACTGGTTGGCAAAGTGCTCCTGCTGCTTCCCCTTTCCTCCTCTGCTCAGCTTCCTCCCACAGCACAGAAAATAATCTCAGTTGTCCACTTCTCTCCTTAGTGCTCTGGTGTACCATGGAATACAGACCCCGGGTTTAGCCAGCTCGGACACGTTGAATTCTTGTAACCCTTGCTCACAAACCAACCCCTCTAGGCTCTGCAATTATTTCTCTTCCCCCCCCTCTTTACCTTCCAGGATAATCCCAGTTTACAGGCCCTTTCCTGGGCTCCTGCCAGCAGAGGGGGAGAGGCTCCCAAGGGGCAAACCAGCCACGCAGGGCTGGTAGCCCATCGTGCCACACATGGAGCGTCTCGAGCAGGGAGACCTCCCGCCTGCTGCCTGCCCATGGGGGCACGGGCAGCCAAAACGCACGTGGAAAAGAGACCGGTCACCGGCATCGCCAGCATCGCTGCTGGGTCGCTTGCCAGAGAAACCCCCTGCCAGAGAACCCAGGGGATGGTTGGGGACCCCCGCCTTTGCCGAGAAAATACTGGGGAAGGGGGAACAACAAAATGTTTGGTGATGGGGTGCTCCTGGCCAGAAGGTAGAGAGCAGGAGGAGGAACGCTTGCTTAAAGGCGGCCACGCAAAAGCCTCTCAGATAGATGTGAAGAAAAGACCAGGAGGGCCTGACTCGGGCGGTGGGGCAAGCGCACATCCACCAGCACCCAGGCGAGGAAAAGCCAGGTCTTTGCTTTGGGCAGTATTCACACTTGGGGAATCCTGCAGAAATAACTGTTCAGGCTGATATTTAAAGGTGTTTGGAAACCACCTGGAGTGCTTTCTTTGGGTTTCAGAGTACCGTAAGAATTTGGTGAATGACCTGGAGTCGAATACCCAAACCAATGCCCATGACTGGACTACAGATCTGGAAATCACTCCCACACGCTCGCTGTGAAGAGCCGCGACAGAAACCAGCAAAAAATGAGACCTGGAGGATTTCAAAACCCGAGATGGCAATCCCCCGTAACGCCCCAGCAAAGAGCAGGGCAGGCTGGCGGCTGCGGCAACGACGGCTTTAGCACCGTTTCGTTCACCAGGCTTCACCAGGGCAACCTGCACATTTGCACATTTTCTGTCTTTAAAATCAGATTCACTCTGCAGGAGAAGGATCCCTGGGAAGGGAACTCTCCCAGTACCGGCCAGTACGAATCCTGCTCTGCTGCTCGGTCTCTCCATTCCCACCAGCTCTCTCTGCGTCTCAGTAAAGCTGAGCCCTCCGGTTACAAAGCTCGGGCTGCTCTAAATGTCAAGAACTTATTGCACAAGGTTGCTCATCAGTATTTTCTTCCAGATTATTAATAGGGCCCAGAGAAACTCACAGAAGTGGATTACCAAAGAAAGTGGATGTGGCATGGCTTTTACTGAAGGGTCATTAAACCAACACATTTCCTGAGTATTTCTCTCCACGCTTCTCCCCTCCCCTGCTGCTGGCTCCCCTTAGGACTGTGTCTCAAGACCAGCAGCCGGCAGCTCTCCCGGCGCACGGGGAGCCCGCGCTGACCCTCCGGGCTCCTCTGGGCAGGAATGGTGGAGGAGGGGGGCGGATATGAGAATGGATTTTCCTTTGACACGCACCCACTGCAAACTATGGTCCCAGTCCAGCACAGCGCTGCCCGGGAGCAGGCGCCGGGAGCTGTTTTGCCGCCACTGCCAAGCTCATGCAGTCACTACTTGTATTTCCATTAGACCTAGTCACCCTGTCCTCCCCGCTGCAGCCTGCACAAATATCAATATTTATTACAGAGAGAAATATTTACAGCGTTCCTCCCCCTCCGGGCACTCTACAAAGGGACACACATAAGCTTTGGTGTCTTTGAAAGGAATAACACTCACAAACATTTGCCTGTCACTGGCCACAAGAACACGTGCCGTCGGGGCCAGCGAGGAACTCAATATCACAACGAGACGCCGAGACAGAGA